CGGCTGCCAGCTTGTCGAAGCGGGCGAAGAGCTCGTTGAGGAGCTTCACCAGCTCCTGGGCGCTGCAGGACGAGGAGAGCTGGGTGAAGCCCACGATGTCTGCGAAGAGGATGCTGCGGGGAGCAAGGGCGAGCGGCTCAGCCCCGGTGCCCACCCTCACCCCCCATTCCCCGCTCTCCTTTTTTGCCGGGGCACCCACTCCAGAGGAAAGGCTGTTTTGGGAGGTGGCTGAAAGCGATGCTCTGCAAACCATGGCTGGAGCAAAAAGGGGCCCCAAGCTGTGGCGTGGCTGGTGGCCGTCCCCATCACCCTTCGCTTTAGCTGCAAACCACCCCAATCTCTCCCTCCTTCCTGGCCCAGGGCTGCAAAATGCACATTTCTGCACAAAAACTGGAGGGTTTTTTCCCCGCACGGTGAAGGGATGGTCCTACCTGACGTTCTCGTGCCGGTACATGTACATGGTGTTGAACTGCTGCATCTCCTTCTGGCTCGGGTCCTTCTTCATGTCCTTCAGCATCTCATCGGCCACGTGCTTGGGCAGGATGGAGAGCATCAGCCGCTCCTGGGGGACGGGGCAGGGAAGGGAGTTCACCACGACGCAAAGCCAAGACCATGCCAAGTGCAGCAATGCATGGTGCGAATGCACGGTGCAAATGTGCAGTGCAAATGCATGGTGCAAATGCAAAATCTAAATGCAGAGGCATGGTGCAAATGTGCAGTGCAAATGCAAAATCTAAATGCAAATGCATGGTGCAAATGTGCAGTGCAAATGCATGATGCAAATGTGCAGTGCAAATGCAAAATCTAAATGCAAATGCACAGTGCAAATGTGCAGTGCAAATGCAAAATCTAAATGCAAATGTGCAGTGCAAATGCAAAATCTAAATGCAAATGCACAGTGCAAATGTGCAGTGCAAACACAAAATCTAAATGCAAATGAATGGTGAAAATGCAAAGTCAATATGCAGAGGCAGGGTGCAAATGCAGAGTCCAGATGCATGATGCATGATGCAAATGCACAGTGCAAATACGGGGTGCAAATGCACGATGCAAATACACGGTGCAAACACACGGTGCAAACACACAGGCTAAACTCATGACGCAAATGCATCATGCAAATGCACAGTGTAATTACACAGTGCAAACACGTCTAAATGCATGGTACAAATGCATGGTGCAAATGCACAGTAGAAATGCAGGGTACAAATGCACTGGCTAAACACATGGTGCATGCGCTACGGTCTGAGCGCTCCCCTCTCCATGGGGGCAGAGAGCAGCAAAGTGACATTTCCAAGCTCCTGGGCCCTTGCTGCTGGAGCTGGCATCCCCAGAGGACCCCAGGGCCCAGCCAGGCCTTTAGCCCAACCTCTCGGCCACACACGGGGAAGGAGCGGGTGGATCAAGCCACGGCTGAAACAGGAGCTTTTCCTCCAGGCAGGGAAACTAAGCTCAGAGTGGGGTGTCCCAGGCACCCCGGGGAGCTGGGAGCCATCACCTCAACTCCAAACCTGCACCCATGGGTGAAGGGAAGGTACCCAGGGGTGACAGGTCCCCCTTGCTGATGCTCTGCCGGGGATGCCAGCCACTGCTTTTACCATTTTCCTCCCTAATTTACAGGTTCCCATCGAGATTTTTGCAAGAGGGAATAAATCCCAGCCAGCGGAAGATGGGAGGGTGGCAGTTTTGGGGCACTGCAGCCACCACCCTGTCCCTGGAGCCGTGGGAAGGAGGGACAGTCCCACACACCTATTTGGACACCGGCTGAGGAGCTGCAAAATTCGCTTGTGCACCCCAGATGCCTTCTGCAGGCACGATACAGAGCCCAGCCCCTGGCTGGGAGCTTGAGAATTAAAATGCATTGGGTTGACCAAGTTTTATCAGCCCAAATCTAAACCTGGGACATGGTGCTGAGAGTGACCTCAGGGTCTGCACCGATGTCCCCCAAAGTCCCTGTGACCTTCCCCGGCGTGTCCTGCCCAGGGGTGGGTCAAGGCTGGGTGTATGGAGCTGGGTTAAGCCACACCAGGGAGGATTTATCAATTTAAAAGTGCAGTGGGTACCCCACATCCATGCGTGGGACTCGACCAAGGTCCCCCAGGAGGATCAAGCCCACTTGGGGACATTGTACCCATTGCTGTCCCCGCTGGCCCTGCAGCCCCGGAGCCGGAGAAGGGATAGAGCTGCCCAGCTGGCCGTGGGGATCTGCACTCAAGGTAACTCACTCCATTAATGAAGTGGGGTTTCCCCTGGGACTGGGGGGGTTCTATGCACAGCTGTGGCGGGGACAGCAATGGGTACGATGTCCCCAAGTGGGCTTGATCCTCCTGGGGGACCTTGGGGCGCTGTGGCCCCATCCCCGTCCCCATCCCCAGGGGCTGCCGGTGGGGAGCTCCCCAGCTCCTCTCGGCTCCCGTCAACCTTAGCTCTGCCCGTGGGGCTGCCGGCTCGGCCACCACGGATGGCCTGGAGGGATGGATCCAGTGGCCAACATCGCTCCCTGCCCTGCACCCCCCCTGCCCCGAGCAACTCAGCCTCACGCCAGCAGCCTTTCCTGCAAGATCACAGGCTATTTTTAGCTCAGTTCCCTAAGGAAACAGAGCTCATGTGATAATAATTCCTTCCTATACCCCTCCAAACCCACGAGCTGGGGCCTCGAAGGTGCTCTCACTCGCAGCATCCCCCAGGATTTGCCCCCATCACCCAAATCCCTCCCTAGTCCTAACCCCTTATTAGACATCAGAGCATCCACCCAGGGTTCACAGCAGAGACGATGCTGGTGGCGCTGGCCCGGCCCTGCCACGTGTCTCTTGTTGCCATTGGGAGCAAATTGCTGGCAGCGGATCAACAAGATAAGAGATGGGAAATGGGGAGAGAGGCCCCAGATAAGGCGCTAAAATTAGGCCAGCTCATCACCGGACAGCGGCTGGGGGCA